CTGCCAAGCCATCTACAGAGCAGGCTATAACAAAATGGCTGCAGGGGGAAAAATATAGAGGACCCATAATAAATCTAGGTACTCCATAACGATGGGTGCCAGCACATCCTGTGGCATAACATGCAAACCTTGCTAGGCTCAGAACATGTTGTATTATGCAATGCTTGCTGTCCAATGAGCACAAAGGACCTGTACTCTGAGATACAGATATGAGTATTAGCTAAAACTAATTAGACCACCGGAATTGTCGTTTCTGACTTCTTAATTATTATCAGAAGGGCACACAGTTTCATTTGCATGCGCACAGCCTAATTAACATTTTATCATTCAGAATTATGACATCAACATAAACTTAATAAATCAAAAGCCATCAGGTTATGAGCGTGAACTTAATAAATCAAAAGGCATCAGGTAGACCGTTGAAAACAAGAAAGATTAATTTGATTCAATGATGAGTCTAGAAAAACTATATGGCCAATAGGTATGTGAATGAAAAGGAGTAATGATGGGTTTAAAAAAAAAACGTGACCAACAGGTATATGTAAATGGAAAGGAGTGATATCTAAGAGAAATTAATATTCACAAATCAAAATCCATTTCATCATATATCAGTAGCTGTTGTGTCATATAGGGTTATGGTCGCCTGCTTGTTTCCCCATTTGTTAGATCAATTTAATCCTCCACTATATGAATAAGTGAAAATCTAAAAAGATAATAGGAGTCCAAAAATCTGTGAAGCAGTAAGCATATATTGCAGTAAAACAGAGAACAGATTCAATCGCATTAGTAAACCGTGGGATCAACGCTGCTATGTTTTGACTTCTGAAAACGTGAAAAGCATAAGTAACCTATATTTTCAGGCAGCGGGGATGGCATTATTCAAAATTTAAAATATGCAAAGGTCATACAAATACGTGATAAGCTCATACAAAACAGTGGCACATATACATATTAAAAGCTGTTCCATATTTGGTATTTGGTCATGCTGTACACTAAATTAGCTAGGTTATACAAAATAGTAATCCTAACTGCTTGGGATGCACTAAAAAAATGAGGGGAAAACTAACACTTACTTGTACAATGGCTGATTGGAAACTAAATTGTGTGGCTTCTTTCCACAGTTTCTGCACAGTCAAAAGGACTATGCTTATGTTAGCATTGGTGTAAGGCATGGAGAAAATTTGCAGCACAATCTCATTATGTTAGACTGACCATTCCGATTGAATCTTAAGGGGCCTTAGACTGACAATATCCCCACTGGAATATGATCAGGTACACCAATCCACCACACACCTTTATGGAAAACCATCCACTATCAACCTCTTTCTGAAAAAGGGAACCTACAGCAAGGAAAGATTGCAATGTAGTTTCAAAATTTATACTATCAACCTCTTTCAAAATGGAAACCATCTACACAAACTAAGATTTACAGTGCAGAAGGAAACATGTCTAAAAAAGAGCATGTCATTAACCAAGACTGAGCATAAAGCTGCAAGCGTGATAAACAGCGGCAGGGTATGATGAAATTACCTATTACCTAAATACAACTGCTTAAAATTATAGCCTTTTCGAAGAATAGCTTTTTCCGGATCACTATATAACTTTGGGTGCAAGAGCTATATTGATTCAGTTTTTATGAACATAGAATAGATTCAACTGAGGACCTGAACAATTGTTCTCGTGAGTCGTTGTAAACAGTTATCGTACCTCAGGTCTAGAAGAACCAATGAACTGAAAAGTGTCAAGTTCCCGAAATTAACAGTCTTATCAACCGAACCTGCAAAGGTTTTGAAAAGGACATAATTGAACATGTTATTTACATGTCCAGCTGATATACAAATAAGAAGCATGAGGGAGTAATAAGTCCGCCATGAAAATAATAGAAATCTTATCTTAGGGAAAAATTGACATCCCATGGAAAATTTACTACTGTGTGGGTATATAGGACCTGTATTGTAACGTGTAGCCAATAAAAAACTCGTGGGCGTGCACATCTAAGCAGTTGACTGGACCTTCATGAAGACGAAAGCCATGCATGAGTTTTCCAGCCGCGAAATCCCAGACCTAGCATAGGTAGATATTTTAAAAAAAATTTGAGTGATCAGGAAACATGTGTGTATGCATATCTTATTTCGAGTATCCCTTATCTTCATGTTTGTGGCTAAAGACCCATAGACAAAGAATTTTCCAAAAGGATGGAAATCAAGATATGCACAAATTGATATGTGCCCAGTGAAAGTTCGAACAACTGCACATTGCGCAAATCGTCAATAGAAACTGAGATTATTGCACGACACAGCTGTAGTTTCATGTTTTCACTGCACTGTTGACTGTTAATGCTGGTTAATACCTTTCGCTTCGTCAATATTCCATATTTGTATTGCTCCAGTTGCTACACCAGCACTTAGCGTAACGCCAAACCTTTACTGACTCAGCTGGACTTGTAAAGCCTGTTAGGCTCTGCAATGTGCAACAAAAATCACCTGAAGTAGATTACTGATTGCCCAAAAAAGCAACAATGACATTACACGTATAGCAGCAGGATACCCTATAGGAATTACCACGAGAGCACCAGTTCTCCCTACAGCCCAAAGATTGACCTTTCAGATCATCACCACCCTTCAGATCCTCATCTTCAGTCAAAAAATTGGACTTTGCCAAAAAATGTAAGCATGTATAGAAACGAGAAACTAAAATCGCTCCAAATAATCCAACAACCGGTCGCTGAAAATAAACATAAATGGGGGCGACGATGCGATTATACCTTTTCTCAATCAAGAACAGAAATCCAACAAAAGATCGTTCCTTGCCGAATCCACCGTGTCCTACAGGGTGTTGACCGTTTCAGAAACATATTGAACAGAGATTTAGTGCCGACAAAGTATCAAATTTTAATCGGTAAAGGAAAACAATAGAGGTTCAGATCCAGAGAATGAGAACTTATCTATGCAGCACATGATCCACATATGAACACAGAAGAAGTTCAGACCGACAACAAATTCATGTTCTTCTATAATAAGATAAGCGACAATGATGGGAACACCACAGTTATCAGCAAAGAAATTCTAAACACATATGAAGATGAAACAAGAGGCAGCAATATTATCAATATAACAAATACAACGCGTTTGTGCTAATTGATATACTGCAGAAACACTACAGAAGCTAATTCCATATTTCATTACAGCTAAGACAACATGCTAATACGTGGTTAACATGAGCATACTTCATTTCCGTACCAATCTTAGTCAATTGGCTACCTAGAAATGGCTGCAGCAAAAGAAGGGAAGGTAGTCCAACGACAGACTGATGAAATTATTGTTGCGGCATGCATGCAAGTGCAGGGCATCATCCACATAGCCCTACCCCTACACAAACGGCCGCATCCCCTCCCCATTTTATTACCCTATCGAAACATATATATTATGTAGCGAGATAAAAGAGGGCAATTGGTCTATAGCTGTATATGGTTGTACTGAAAGCAGAAAACAAAAATAGTAATCTACTGCAAACAACTCTTAAGAACCAAAAGAACTAAGGCAAATAGGCAGAGGAGGAGTTAACCTGCAAACCGACGAAGCCGGAATGAAGGGACGGACAGCGTGGACCTAAACTAACCAAGCGGAACTACTAAAAGGGCCGGCGTAAACTACCCAAGCGAAACTGCGAACGAAGCAAAGAATAGACGAGGGCATCATTCAGAGCTGAAGCACACAAAATTAAAACCTGAAATGAACCAACGGCACTAAAATAAGCATGGGAAGATCTAACCTGGAAATCGACGAAGCCCGAATCAACGGAGAGAAGACGGCGGCCTAACCCGGCGAAGCCGCCGCGCCCACGACAGGGGGGAGGGAGGGGGGGACCCCCCGCACTCCCCAGACGAGTAAACTCTGGCTGGAAAACTACACTACACCACGACGACAGCGAAAGGGAGTTTTTTTCGGATCAGTCAACAAAGCGAGGATTCGGATGTGTGAAGAAAGCAAGAATCGGAAGAAAGTGGCATCCAGATCTAGAAGAGAGCTGGCAAGGAGCAGCGAAACGGACGAGGGAAAATGCGACGCATAACCTGACAAGCCTTGAGGCCGGTGCAGCAGGAGGAGGCGAGGAGCTGTTCCGGCTGTCCCCTGCAGATGGACGGCTCCGGCAAGGGGCGCAGGCAAAGACCCAACACCCTGACCGCGCGAAAAAGGGGAAGCGAGGAGAACAGCGGAGGCGGCGGCGCAATCCCGGCGACCGTCGCGGGAAGACGCGGGCGAAGAAGACGCGCGGCAAGCGGAGCTGACGAGGAATAGAGGGGACCGGGAAGATTCTAAAACGAAGATTCAGAGGTATATATATCGGTCGGCTGGCGGCTGTCGTCGTGGAGCGGCTAGGGCCTTATCCGGGAATCTCCAGAATCCAGTCGCTGAAAAATACCGTAGCCGGCTGATAAATACAAGCAAACACGCCCTGATTCCGCTCCTAAGAAATCTTGGCCTGGGTAATCAGTGCCGCTAATTGAAGGGATCAAACGGCTGGAGTAATTTGGTGAGACGTGGATGATTTTCTGGCCAGGAGTCGACGCACTTTGTAGTTTTAAATAAAAATAAATAAATAAATAAATAAAAGGTGGCCAATGAAGCCGCTCACTTGACTACGGAGTGCATACGCGTGTAAGGAAAGTCTCCCTACTGACTCGATCATAACCGCAAGTTTTTGATCCAACGGGTACCCATCTCACTCAAATGCCAGTTCAAGCATCTCCCCTGCCGTTCAATTCCCTCCGTTCTTGAGCAATCCCCGGCGGCCGGCGGGCCGAGGCGCTCGGTCGCTCTGACGGCCTGTCGGTGGCTCCGCACTCTGGACATCTGGTTGTCTGTGCGACACCGAGGTCCGCGCCTGCGCGGGAGGCTGGGATGGGCCAAGGGGCGGCGGCGGCCAGGACACCTAGATGACCATCGGCCCTGCGGCCAGGACACCTAGATTACTATCGGTTTGCTCCGCCGCTGGCGTCCATGGAGGCCTTCTACCTCGACCTTCTCCGCTCCTGCGCGGCGCTGCCGCACGTCGCGGCCGTGCACGCCCACATCGCGCGCGCCCACCCGACCGCCTCCCTCTTCCTCCGCAACTTCCTCCTCCACGCCTACTGCCGCCTCGGGGCGCCCCACCACGCCGCCCTCCTGCTCGACGAAATGCCCCGCCGCAACGCCGTCTCCTACAACCTCCTCATCGCCGCCTACACCCGCGCGGGCCTCCCGGGCCGCGCCCTGGCGACGTTCGCGCGGGCGCGGGCCGCCGCGGGGTTCAGGGTCGACCGGTTCACGTACGCCGCCGCGCTCGCCGCTTGCTCGCGCGCGCTCGACGTGAGGACCGGGAAGGCCGTGCACGCGATGGCCGTCCTGGACGGTCTCGGGAACGGGGGGGTGTTCCTGTCCAACTCGCTCGCCAGCATGTACGCCGCGTGCGGCGAGATGGGCGAGGCCAGGCGCGTGTTTGATGCCGCCGAGGAGCACGACGACGTCTCGTGGAACTCGCTGCTCTCTGGGTACGTCCGCGCCAGCGCACGTGAGGAGACGATGAAGGTGTTCTCTCTGATGTGCCACCATGGCATCGGGTGGAACTCGTTCGCGCTTGGGAGCATCATCAAGTGTTGTGCTTCTGGTGGTGATGTTGGAGGGCACATTGCAGAGGCAGTTCATGGATGCGTGGTGAAGGCTGGACTGGATGCCGACCTGTTTCTTGCGAGCGCAATGATCGACATGTACGCTAAGAGAGGCGCCTTGATCAATGCTGTCGCGCTTTTCAAGTTGGTGCCAGACCCAAATGTGATTGTTTTCAATGCGATGATTGCAGGATTCTCTCGTGATGAAGCTGCCGTTGGTAAGGAAGTCATTCGAGAAGCTTTGAGTCTGTATTCAGAGATGCAGAGCCGAGGGATGCAGCCTTCTGAATTCACATTCTCAAGTATTCTGCGTGCGTGTAACTTGGCTGGTGAACTTGGATTTGGGAAACAGATACATGGTCAAGTACTCAAACACAGTTTCCAAGACGATGACTATATTGGGAGTGCACTGATTGACTTGTACTCTGACTCCGGTTGCATGGAAGATGGATACAGGTGTTTCAGATCTCTGCCTAAGCAAGACATTGTCACCTGGACGTCAATGATTTCAGGGTGTGTTCAGAATGAGCTTTTTTGAGAAGGCACTGAGATTGTTCCATGAATTAATACGTTATGGACTGAAACCTGATCTTTTCACGATGTCGAGCGTGATGAATGCATGTGCCAGTTTAGCTGTTGCAAGGACCGGTGAGCAGATCCAGTGTCTTGCCATAAAATCTGGTTTTAACCGGTTCACTGCCATGGGGAATTCCTTCATTCATATGTGTGCTAGGTCAGGGGATGTTGATGCTGTGACTCGGAGGTTTCAGGAAATGGAATCACGTGATGTTGTCTCTTGGTCTGCAATGATATCAAGCCATGCGCATCATGGTTGTGCGAGGGATGCTTTACGCATTTTCAATGAAATGATGGATGCAAAGGCGGCACCTAATGAGATTACTTTTCTCAGCGTCCTTACTGCATGTAGTCATGGAGGATTGGTTGATGAGGGACTCAGGTAAGACTTTGCCATTTCTTTCAGGTTAGAGCATTCAATCAAATTCTAGTGCAACTTTCTTTGCTATACTATACATGCCTCATACGTCCTCCTTTGATGATCGTATGCAGGTATTATGAAATTATGAATAATGAATATGGATTGAGCCCAACCATAAAGCATTGTACTTGTGTTGTTGATCTTCTTGGACGAGCTGGGAGGCTAGCTGATGCTGAGGCTTTTATAAGGGATTCTGCCTTCCATAATGACGCTGTGGTTTGGCGGTCTTTGCTGGCCTCATGTCGTATTCATGGAGACATGGAGAGAGGCCAACTTGTGGCGGATCGGATAATGGATCTGGAACCCGCTTCCTCAGCATCCTATGTAATTCTTTACAACATGTATTTAGATGCTGGCGAGGTGTCCTTAGCTTCAAAAACTCGAGACCTGATGAAAGAGCGAGGCGTGAAGAAAGAGCCTGGTCTTAGTTGGATTGAACTAAGGTCTGGGGTTCACTCTTTTGTTGCCGGTGACAAGTCCCATCCAGAGAGCAATGCAATATACAAAAAACTGGCAGAGATGCTTTCCAAGATAGAAAAGTTGGCGGGCACTGATAGTGCTAGCACAGAGTCAGATGGCGTCTCTAGCAGGGAGCAGAATTTGGTGGGTTGCCACAGTGAAAAACTAGCTGTGGCATTTGGAATGATCCATTTGCCACAATCAGCTCCGATTCGAGTAATGAAGAACTTGAGAGTTTGCCGCGACTGCCACTCGACCATGAAGCTGATATCCGGGAGTGAGAACAGAGAAATAATCTTGAGAGATGGGATTCGCTTCCATCACTTCAGAGGCGGTTCATGTTCTTGTGGGGATTACTGGTGATGACCCGTAGAATTAGAATTGTTCTAGGTCTAGTAGTGAAAGGTATATTCATTATGCACATTACAAAATGCCAAATTGGTACAGGATGAAAGGAAAGACCTGTGCAGTAATGAATGTTTGACAATCTTGAAGTACAGGCAGTAGTTTATGCTTCAGAGGACATGCACAGCTAACACGAATCTTTTGTTTTTTTTGGATCCAATTACAATTAGCTAACTTCTCAAATACGCAAGGATTGTTGGATCAGCGCTGAGAACTATTGACTTGATGTTATACTCACTCATCAAACTGCAGGTATTCAGTATAAGATCTAAGGTCCAGACTGGGGAAGTTGGAGAAACTGACGTTGGTGAATGGTGATTTCACCGCTGAAACTATTGTTCTTTAGGTCGATCGTTATAAGATCTGTTCAGCTGCTCAGGGTTGATAGCATGCTGCTGTAGTGCAAATGGATTTTTTTTTCGCAATCTCTATAGGTCATCAGGGAGAGTCCGATTGTGTGTGTTATAACAGAGTTCTAGCCACTCCCATGAAAGCTAGAATTCTGAAATGTACTTACCCTTCTGAAAGCTGTCCTATCTCTACTACTACTACCACTACTACTAATAAAATATTAACTATCCATCATCCGAGTGATGGATAATTTTGTTTTCATCCACCGTATTTCGGTTGCCATTTGTGTTTCGTGGGCTCAATTGTATCTGTTGTTGCGGCCCATATGTTATGCTACTACAGTACGTCACGTGGAGAGGATTCCATTTTGAGTTTCTGTTTATCTTCGTTTCTGTCAGCCTCGTGTTCTTCAGAGAACACTCGGATAGCGTTGTTCCCGGCGGAGCTGCCGGCGTGAGTACTGCTCGACGCAAGGGAGGAGGGATGCTTCTCTGAGATGTAGCTAAGTGGTAGTCCCTCACCTCACTCGCACTCCCCACCAGACCTCCACAGCAACTGTCGTCTCGTCGCTCACGTTGTGCTGCGACTCTGCGGGGAGAGGATCCCTTGGCTGTGTACAGGATGTCGCCTGTGGGCGGAGTAGGCTGCTCCGCCGGGCAGGTGCGCGTCTCTGATGACCAGTGTTGATTATTTCCCCGATGCGATTTAGTTTCCCCCATTTTATTTAGGTTCATCTGAATTCTGATGGCACTTCCATCCCCTTCTGTGTTTCTGTCAATTAGTTCGTCGTAGGTATATTCTATTCAATTGGATGCGGCATTTTTAATTGGCTATCAGTTGGTTGTCATGTAAATTCATTGTTTAGTGCTCTCATAAACTGTAGTTGCGTGATGATTATTTCTTCAATGTGATTCAGTATCACCATTCTATTCAGGTTCATGAGTTCATCTGATAGCACACTCATTCCATTCTGCATTTCCTCCAGCTTGACGTTTCTGTTAGTTTGCCATATGTTTATTCTCCTGCATTCTAGGCGTCAACTTTAATTTGATGTTAGTTGATTGTGTTGTAATTTCAATTTGCAATGCCCTCATAAACTTTAGTTATGGTTGCTATGTCCACGATTCTTGTCCTCACATCTCCCTGTGTTGTCTGTGCGGGAACAAATTGGTTCTTGAGTTTTTGTTCTAGTGTGCTGTTGGTGCAAGAAAGTTTGAGAGGGAGAGGGATCTGTTGCATCTCCACTCGCTGCACATCCGGTACCTGCACTGCATGCATGGCCTGTTGCGCACATAGGAAAATCTCATCAGTTTCTGTATCTACCCACCCACCTTTTCTCTCTTCTTACAGTTTCTAGTTGCTCTGGACAGTCAGTTGATTATTTATTATTTTTTGTTTACTATTTCAGAGCGCTTAATTTTTTTTGAGAACCCTAGCTAATATTATGTGCTTTGTAATTATTCATCAAATCTCTTGTGTAGCAGTAATATGTTAAGTGTCCTATTCATTCTTTGTGTCTGTCTTGTAGTTCAGTAAACTGTTGTGATTCTTTATTCAGGTTTTAGTTTTTGGTAATTCTATGTGTCTGGATAAGTAGCCTTGATATATTTATTCAAGAGTCACTATTTTCAGACCTTGTTATGCATCTGAATCAGATAGCACCTAAAAGGAAAAATCATACAGAGCATGCTGACCATTCATTTTCTCTAAGACGAGGCTAGCACCACAACTTTTTTAATTTTGAAGATCTATAGAATAATGATAATGTAAGCATATCATTTCTTGAAAGCCTATTTTTATATTAGTTTTTACATTCTTATTAGTTTTGAGTTTTCTTTTTTTAGGCTACTCTGTTTGCCACTCATTTAGAAATGTTTGAAAAGTTTATTGACTTTTGTAAGTGGAAGGTATGTTATCACTGATATTGAATATATGTATTAAGATTTTCCAATGTCCAAATTGTTTGAGTTTGTTCACTAGTATTTAGTTTTTACCCATGTTAGATGAATATTTAATTTATTGTTTGCAAGATTTTTTTGGCTAGATAATATGTTTTCAGTACCATTACATGTGAATTATTGTTTCAAGTTTCAGAGTCTGATCAGTTTTGAATATTTATTTTGTTGTGAGTAATATCCTATTATTTCAGTTATTCAGTATGCTATTCTATTTATTCTTGTTAATTGTTTGTTGTCTTATCTTGAACTTGGAAGGTTCAGTGTTTCAGATTTCAGTATTTTATTGTTTCAATTTTCAGTCTTCAGTTGTGCTTCCTCTGAATTTTTCTCTCCACTATTTTGCTCTGTATTTCAGTCTGCAGTAATTTTCATTGCTGTCCAATCCTTCTTCGCAGTTGAAAGTTGCAGGCTTCACTGGCCGTGACACACCAGCAACATTTCACAATTGAAATTGGGGATTAAATTTTCTTACATGGAAAAGGTCACCGTCCAGTAGTTGCAGCAACTAGTTGGCAAATTTGACTTGAAATCTCCCGCTCGTTCGTTTCTTTTTTAAAGCTTCATCAAGCTATTTTTTGTTTTCTGATCTTTGCTCGTGCTTGCTGCTAGGAGAGACTGAACAACCGTTTTTCAGCAGTGACCCATCCGTCAGCAGCTTATTTGGTTTTTCAGAACTGTAGATAGCTGCTGCTCAGTCACTTTTCAGTTGGGGTGTTTTTTTCGTTTAGCACCGTGTCTGAAGAAATGCCAATGCTGACTTGCCCAGAACTCAAACATGCTCCATTTCTTCACACACGAACTCCTCTGTCGTTGCTGCGTGTGTTGATTGTGCTTTCGTTTGTACAAGTGTGAACCATTTCAGTTCTTTTTTGCTGAATCTCAGTTCAGTTAATAGAACCATGATGTGTCCCATGTACATTGCGTCTCCGTACAATAGGCTATTGCATACTGCAGAGGCCATCACCTCTGTCTCCATTTGATTTTTTTGAAGGACCTGCTTGGATAGGGTCTTGTTTGTTCCGTAAAAGACTGCAAAGTAAATAAGCTGATTATATGGTGCCATGGATATATGGATGCTGTCAGTCTCTAGGATTTTCACTGGCTTGGTGAACCGCAGACACCAAGACCGAACTAGTACTTTGCATCCTTTGAAAGAGAGTAAAGTTATTCAAAATGTCATCTAGAGATTGTCAGTTATTTAAAATGTCTTTTTTTAGTTTGTTCCTCATATTAGTGTGTTTCAGTTTTTTTTGTATTGTGAGTATCCTGTTATTTCCATGGTTTTCAGTATGCTATTCTATTGATTCCCGTTAATTGTTTGTTGTCTTCTCTGAATTTGGAATCTCAGTTTATGTATATGTATTATCACACTAAATGTTCAGTTTATTTCATATATTGGCGCCATCATTTTAATTGGTGCTCATGAACCATTAATAGTGTTTTCTGATTAAATTGAGTTCATCTTTCCATGTTACACTTTTTTTTTTTTTGCCAAAGTAGGCTAATCTGGGACCCACTTCAAGTGTTTCCTTGTGTTACTATGCTCCGTCATTGTCTTCAGCAGATAACTTCAGTTCAGGTTATATGTACCGCGAGTAATGCTAAAAGTTTCTGTTCTAGGCTTCTTGCAGCCAGAGCGCTCTTCCCTTTTCTGTCAGTGAACAAGAATCCATAATAGCAATATAGACAGTTCAGTTGTACTTCAAAAATCATTTTCCAGCACTGTATCTGTTGGCTACTATGTTTCTGGTGCCTTTTGACTGAAAAAGAAAGGAACCATCTCTGACTGCAAAATTATTCAGATTCAGTAGCCTGCATATACCCAAGCTTTCAATTACACTGCAATTCTCTGGTTCAGAAATTGGTGCTCAATAGCCATAAATTATTAAAAACTTTAATTCTATCAATATTTATTTTATTGCTTGCATGATTTTTTTCAGTAATCGGTTCAATGATTTTTTTGTCAGTGGTCTACGCGTGTGCTGGTTCTAAACTTTTGGTGTTTAGCAGCAGTATCTGTCTTTACAGTATTGCTTTTAGAATGTCCATTTCTGATCAGCAAATAGCACTTCTTTTCTTATCTTTGGCTCTATCTTCCTTCCTTTTATTCTTTTTTTTTTCTTGGCCTCCAAGTTGATAAGTTTCAGTTAGCTTGCCAAAAGGAATCGGAGTGGTTGGATGTGTACAGAGGGCACGTGACTTTTCCTGTGAGTAGTTGCGTTTGGGCAGGGAGGGAGAATCTGGTTTGATTATTTTGTTACTTGTCAATCAGTTTTTTATTGCTCTGCATAGAAAATCTGGTTGATTTTATCATATTTTTCAATCATTGTTTCTGTGTCGTTTTATATACATATATCCTACCGATGACGCGTTTAATTATGATTGGCTCAAAAAGTGAATGATAACTGTATCAACTATCAACCGAGTGATGGGTAGTCACTCCCAATAATAATATGCAGTCTTTTTTTTAGAGGTGACAGATACAGATGCAGTTAGAGAGGATATGTGCAAGCCCATAACAGCCCATTAATAATATCCAAAAGGGTATTATATAAAGTTGGGCTCTGGGCTGAGGAAAACAAGGCACCAAAATATAACCGACGCTCTTACTCCACAGATGGGCTACTGGCCCAATACAGATTGCATCTC